CTTGCCTTAGTAAGTTCTTCCAGGATTCGACCCATATTGTCCGTGCTGCTGCATGTTCTCTTGCACTCTCCTCAGTGAAGTCAGGAAACATCATTCATTCCCCACTCCATTCAAAAGGTGTTGTGCCAGGTATTGTGATAAGAGACTAGGATGTGGTATGTGTGACGTCATGAGACTTACTGGTACGAGGGGCGCAGGGAGTGAACGACATTGTGAAATACTGTCCCCTGAGGTGGGGAGACTAAGGCAGAAGTGGGTGCCAAGAAGGCATTAAGTATTTGGATTGTGACAAAAGGAAATGGATTTATGCAGAGAGACAAGAGCGTGGGGAAACAAGTTATTCAAAGACTCAAGAAGTTGTGTGTGCGTGGAATGCCAGCTTATTATTTGCGAGAAAAAAAAACACAAAAACAAAAAACAAACAAACAAACAGGAAACAGAGGTTCTTTGCACAACATGTAATGAAAGAGTAGTGAAGGAAGATTCTAAGGGTAGAAGGTGAAAGAAGAACTGAAGAATCAACCCAAGTGGAAACATCAGTAGTGCACAGACTTAATCCTTAGGCTAACTCACACACTGAGATGAGCAATGAGGACATAAATCATAATGAGACCTTGTACTTACGGAGGACCTCATCTAAACAACCCTAAATATCTACTTGGCTTCTAGGATAAAAGACAGATGATAAACGTAAGTTTTATAAAATATGTTCTTTAATAAATATGTGGACAGAATATATTTGCAACACAATATTTCGCCAAAATGCACACAGACCTTGGTGCCTGAAGTGTGAGCTGCAGGTGAAATGAGGCAATGAGGAGGGCCCAGGAGTAGCCTGTGATGGGGCAGGGTGCATGGGCAAGTATGGAAGTGAGTGTGTTTCTTGTTGTGGATTACTTCTAACCAAAATTAACTATCCCTGGGTCACACAGCACAGCTGGGTTAGCCCTCTAAGATGCTGCATTTTTAACTGCATGTGTTAATAGCATAAGCCCGGACTCAAAGGCCACAGAACACACTTATCATAAAGTACAAGTTAATGTTGGCCCCTCCAGCACTTATCGTAAAGTACAAGTTGATGTTGGCCCCTCCATGACAGAACAGAAACAGGGCTTACTTCCTGGCTGAAAGGAACACTCTAGCTTCCTGGGTGATGGCTTGCTGTTCAGGCTTTGGGGATGAGCACCCAAACTTGGGGATGAAGATTGCTATCTCTAAGGTACCCCTGGGATGTCTGCTTGTTTGTTACATAGCCACAGCTGTCACCAGATACTATCTTCAATTAGAATTCACTGATACTTGTTGCCTGCCGATTGCTGGTACCACTACTGAATAAAACATTTAGCTTTAAACATCCATAAACATATTTAAATTACTTCAAATGCATTACTCTGCTATGTGCTCTGTGCCAGTATTTACTGAAATAACTGTCCATTTGTAGTATGGCTATCTCTATAGAAATATACACAAATGTACTCTATTTTGGTAGGTTTATAAAAAATGTTTTTGCTTCATTTGTAGTACTGGATGGAATTTTGCCACATTAATCATCTTTATAGTATTTTATTTTATTGTGTGCCATGAAGACTTGTACCAGCATATTTCTTTTTAGCTAATTTTCTCAGGGTTAATATAGCCATGGGAGGCATCATAATCCCTTATTCAAAATTATATTACAAAGCTACTGTGATAAAATCAGCATGGTACTGGAAAAAAAATCAGACCTGAGGATCAGTGGAACAGATCAGAAGATGCAGACACAACTACAAACACACTCAGCCACCTTATCTTTGACAAAGGGGCCACACATGTTCACTGGAAGAAAGATAGCCTCTTTAATAAACTGGGCTGGAAAAACTGGCTTTCCACATGCTGAAGACTAAAAATAGACCCATGTCTATTACCACGCACTAAACTGGAGTCAAAATGGATCAAAGATCTGAATATTAAAACAGAAGCACTCAATTTACTGGAAGAGGTAGGCAGAAATCTTGGAGACATAGGAGTAGGCAGAGAGTTCATGAACAAAACCCAAACTGCATGGGAAACACTTCAAAAATCAACAACTGGGATCTCATCTCATTAAAAAGCTTCTGCACATCAAAAGAAATCACCAACAGAGTGAAAACACAGTCCAGGGAGTGGGAAAAAAAGTTTAGCCAACTGTCCCTCAGACAAAGGACTTCTATCTAGAACATATAAAGCATTAAAAAAAATCAGACCCCCCCAATTTTAAAGACCCAATCCAAAAATGGGCATCTGAGATGAACACACACTTCTCAGATGAAGAAATACAAATAAATACATGAAAAAATGTTCAACATCATTGGTCATTTGAGAGATATAAATTAAAAAAACACTGAGATTCCATCTCACCCCAGAAAGAATGGCTATCATGAAGAAATCAACTAATAACAAATGCTGGAGGGGTTGCAGGGGAAAAGGAACCCTTCTCTACTTTTGGCAGGACCACTGGTGCAACCACTGTGAAAATCAGTGTGGAAGTTCCTCCAAACATTAGGATTAGAGGTCCCATTCGACACAGCTATTCCCCTTCTGGGTATTTTCCCAGAAGAATTAAAAACATCATATCACAGTGATATACGTGCACCCATGTTTATAACAGCACAATTTGTCATAGCTAATCTTAGAAACAACCCAAATGCCTATCAACTGAGGAATGGATTAAAAAAGATGTGGCATTTTTATACAATGGAGTACTACTCAGGTATAAAGAAGGATAAACTTGAGACTTTTATAGACAAATGGATACAACTTGAGACCATACTCATAAGTGAAATAAATAGGACTTGCATGGGAAATATTGTATATTCTCCCTAGTGTAAGAAACTGAAAGAGTAAATAAGATCCAAAGTGTACAACAGATATTGTGATATGGGAAGAAACTGTTAAAAAAGAAAGAGAAACTTACATGAGGGAAAGGAGAAAAGGAGGACAGAAAAAGGAAAAATAAATAAATAAACACACACATGATAGTTAAGATAGTTAAATTACTAACTGCTATTTGTTCATTGAAAAGAAAGGTTTATGCCTATATTGTTTGATCAATTTTTCATGCCTGTATCTTATAATATGAGCAACTACTTTGAGGATAACAATATGCATGTACTAACCACAGTTACTCTCCTACAATCTTGTTTTCAAATTTTGTACCATTGTTTTTTTCTTTAAAACAAAAAAAACCCACAAAAAATAGAATATTGCTGCGTATTCAGAAGTAATGATTTCCTAAAGATTCTGAGATTCATATATCACACTCACAAGATAAAATGTGGACTCACTGTTTAAAATCACTTAAAATGCATAAAAGGAAGTCCTTAATTTCCCCAATCATTTTCTTAGAGAGTTGGAAAGGGTCTTAACATGTTCCTTCTGGCTTGAACCACTGGTGGTATATGCACAAATATCCCATGAGGCAGCTTATACCACCTTATGTATGGGACAGTCATGCATGTGCCACTGGTCATCAGAGCAGCCTGGCACCAAGACAAATGAATTACAGCCCCATCATAAATGTGTTAAACTCTTAGATGTTTTTATGCTGGTATCTACAGTATTTATCAAAGATTAAAAATATTAGTACCACTCAGTACTGGCATGGGTATTCTCACACACTGATGATATAAACTTGTCTACAGGGCAGTTAAGAATTAATGTACCATATGCGAATGAATCTCAAAGGTGAGAAAAACATTTAGCCTGGCAAGTTTACTTATAATAATTTACCTTGGTTATGGTATTCATCTCAATACAATTGATACTTTCAAAGAAACTTGGAATAATATGATTATTAATACTAGCAGTGTAATCAAATAAAGTATTGCATAATGGAATTCCACATAGCCATTAAAAAGGGTTGCTAGAAATGGATTCAATGACTTAAAAAGGTGGTTTCCAATGTAGCCATACCTGCATATGCCTTACATATTGTACGTGTATGTGTACATGCTGTCTCAGTCGCTTTCCTTCTTGCTGCGACAAAACACCCAACACTTGCAACTGAAAGTCAGCGAGAGATTTCTTTTGGCTCACAGTTCAGGAGTTTCAGTCCATGTTCAGCAGGCTCAAAACAAGAAACAGCATGGCAGGAGGGTCCAGACTGAGGAAGGCTGTTCATGTCATGGGCCAAGAAGCAGAAAGTGAAGAGGAGTGGGGAAGGGAGATGCACACTTCCAGGTCCCAGCCCCAGGGACTGCCTCTAAGCAGGCTCACTCCTAACGGCAACTCAGCTGCAGTACACCATAATCCAACCAGTCTCCCACAGCCCCATGAGCTCATGAGATATAAACCATAACACACACATCACAGTTTGTGTCTGGATGTCCCCCAAAGCCTCATGCAGTTATGGGGGGCGGGCTTTCCAGAGGTGGTTGAATCTAGAGCTGTGACTGACTCCTGGTCCAAGCCTGGGTTTAAGGGTGTGAGTGCTACACCACCCTAGCATGGGTAGCCTGCATACAATGTTAAGGAACAGAAAGAGGCTTGTCTTCTCTCTCTTGTTGCTTTTGCTGTCTTCTGCTGCCATGAACTGTTGCCCCTCTGCCATGTGCCACCCAGCCTTACAGCCAGCCAATTATGGACTGAAACCTCTACAAACAGCTAAATAAACCTTTCCTCCCTTTAACTTTGGGCATTGGGTATTTTGTCCCTGCAAGGAGAGAAAACTAAGACAACACACATAGAAAAAATTTAGAAGAATAGCCATTAGCATTTCTGTTAAAGCTTTATTTTTTTTATCTAAATTTTATAATTTTTATATAATAAATATGCATGGCTTTTATAGTTACATGTTCATTCATTATCATTTAAATAATGGCCTGAAAAGCTTCTCTTCTAACTGTGCTGCCTCTAGACTCACGAACTGAACCAACATGGCAGGAGGGGCCCATGCTCAGGTCAATCCGATAACCACAGTCCCTCCCAAATATAGGCCTCCTAGTTCAGCTCTTCCTGGACACACAAGCAAGAATCCTGCTCACCAAACCATGCCGTACACAGGGCGTGTCCAGGAGCCTCCGGAACCCGTTCTCTACCGTGACTCCCAGCCAGTTGAGTGCAGCCCAGCACCAGAGGTAGTTGTAGCCGCCATGCCAGTAGCTCACAAATGCAAATGTCATCGCAGTGGAAAGCAGAGTCCCCAGCAGGCCACGTTGAGACCCACCCAGAGGAATGTACACGTACCTAGAGAAAGAAGAGGCTGAGAGTCATGCTGAGGAATGCATCTGTAGCCCCACCCAGCTCCTAGGCTGGCTCTGCCACACATGGCACTGTTCATGGCACACAGACCCTGCCCTACCTTCAGGAGGTTGTAGACTGACCGCTCCTTGGATTCTCCCTCCAACTAGGAGCTGGCAAAAACCCAAGCCTCCACAGTGCAGGGCTTTAGGGTGCACCAACACAAGCTAAAGAGCTCTCATTACTACAGCAAAATAGCACTTACAAGAAACAGGAAGTGACGTAATGAATTTAGAGTTTCTGAAAGCGATGTGCCTGCTGGCTACATGGGGATGTCAACATATGTACTTCCTAGCTCAAACTATTAAGTTTATGATACACTCATTATTTAAGCATAACTGCTAAAAAATCAGGGCCTTAAATAGCAGGAGCTGGGTACAGAAGAGAGGTGCCAAGGCCAGTTCCAGATCCTTCCAGGCAAGTCGTCCAGAAGGGGCAGTGAACTTACCAGTAAAGAGAAGAGTTCTGTGCTCACAGGGCAGCCAAATTACCACCCAAATACCTGGCCACCCCAGGTATGTTCTCCATACCAAGACAGCTGCCCCAGCACATGGCAGGACCATATTCTTTGACTGTACCTTTCTGCTGGAGTTGGACATGGTAGCTCATGGACTGAGCCAGCAGAACCTGCAGAGCTAGCAGCACACCCTTCTTGTGGCTGCTTTTAGAACAAAGCGCATAAGAAAGCTTGTTTATTGCTTGTTAGAGCTTCTCTGTCTAACCTTCCTCCAGGAAAGAAAAGGAGGCCATCATCTGAACACATGACATAACGCTAAAACTTCATGTGGCTTTTTGTTTGATTCTTTACATTACTACCTGGTTTATACCTGCCATCATAGCATCCCAAACAGTTTTAGCAGAAGTCATTTTTTAATGGAACCATTTATAGGAAGGAAAGTCAAAACATTTTTTTAAATAAAAACTTATCAATCCATTCAGAAATATCAAAACACTACACAATGGTAATTATTTTTATTTAAAATAGATTTTAACTGGTACATAAAAACATAAAAATTACACATATCAATAGGGTACCATGTGCTGTTCCAATACATGTCTATACTGTATAATGTTACCTGTCTCCTCCAGATTTTGTGATTTCTTTATGGTGAAAACTTTTACAATCTCTGCTTCCAGCTTTCTGAACTGTGCAGGCACTAGAGTTATCTATGTTCATCCTAGTATGCGGCACAGCAGAACTTCTTGCTTCTTCTATGACTGCAATGATTTTTAAATGTCCTCTTTGACAAAGTCTCTGTATCCCTGACTCAGTTCTAGCCGAGCTCCTCTGAGCCCTCTAAACCCCAGCTTCCTAGGCCCTCACCACCCAGCTGTAACGAGAATCCCACTTTAGTTTAGAGCTGCCCCACATGTGATATCTGATCACCCTGGATTTCTGGCCAAACTTCTTACCCCACCCTGGGCATCTAAGCAGTCAGCAACTGCCTATGTCCCGACAGTTCCTCTTAATAATTTTCCATCCAATGAGACCTACCTACCCTGTTCCTTGGCTATACCCCACTTCTCTATGCTGAATTCATAACTGAGCCCAATCCTACACTGAGGTCTCTTTTCTCCAGGTGAAACCATTCCTGCATGAAATTTGCTTTTATCACTTCAACTACTGTCTAGCTTTGTTTTTTCTTTAATGCTCTTTGCTCTCAAATTTATTCCAGTTTGGATCATAAATTGGAATGATTGGCTTAGATAATTCCATTTGACAGGTAAGAAAACTGAGGCTGAGAAGTTAATTTCTTCAAGATACGGAGCCGGGAGAGGAAAGGACCAAGATGAAAGTCTGTACCTGTGGCACCAAAATTAACACTTCCTATCATACCTAGGGGTTAGTTATGAAAGTTCTCTCTCTTTCCTTGGCATCAGAAATAATTGAACCCACAGGCATGTGAGAATGTAGCCATTTCACAAATAAGTGGGGCAAAGACAATACTTCTTGTACAAAACAGTATGCTCTCCAGAGTCAATTTAGCCAGTAGGCATCAAGTCCTTGTGGTCTATTAAGGGACCCTCTCACTGCTGTCCAGTCTGCAGGGAGAACTTGTGGGCAAGTTGGCTTCGGGAAACACAGGCATAAAGCACTGTTCCTGCCATGAGGACAGCAGACCTGGCTGAGAAAGGGCAGCAAATGAGTGCAGCTCTTAAGCCAGTGTGTGGTACGAGACCAGGATGGTTTAAGGGTATGGTGGGGACAGGACAAGCAGAGGCTGAGTGGGCCAACACAGACCTGGAGGACAAGGCTATCTGTGCAGAGGGGTGAAGGGTGGGACCTGGGGCATGGGTGCTCTGTAAAGGTGAACATAACTGATACCATCTACATATTATATAGCATCTTCCTCCTCAGTTGGGGTTTGTTAGGTTGCAATGATTCTGTGAGATGCTTCTGAATCAAAAAGGTGGCTGCACCCTCCTCCAGGGGCATCCTCTGCAGTGATCACAGCAAGAGACTAGGCCAGGCCCTATGCAGACTTAGGCTCACATGGTTTCTGACCAGAAGAAATCTTTTGATTTTGCTTTGCTGAGAGGGTGGGGCTGGCTGTATTCTTGCAGTGGGAAATCAATCTCACTGTGCAGTCATGTGACTGTTTTTCTAAAAGAGACATGTTCTGACTTTGTTAATCATGGAGCTGACTCAGGACTGGTTGAATTTGTGAAAGGAAAACTGCCTCTCCTCTTGCCTTGCTTTGCCCACTGCTTTCTAGAAATTAAAAGTAAAGAGATTTTACCTTCTGGTCTGGAAACCATTCCTTCTGTGGTTTGAAACAAGCAGCCCCATGTCCTTGGAGACATGCCATCTCTGCATTTCTAGAGTAAAAGGACTTCTCAAAGATTTTTTTCAGCTGTCATTTTGGGGGAGAAGCAACAGAGGCATGGTTCCAGGAGATGCCCCGCCCCGCCTCACCCCACATCGCACTGCCCACTGCGGGGTACAAAACCATTGACCATGCATTTTGCTTAAGTGACTGATGCTGTGTGAGCAGGGCTTACAGAAAATCTTACACAGCTTTTCCCATTATACCAATTTTAAGCACCTCAGAATGCCCTGGAGGGTGAGTGTCTTGGTGACTGATACATGTGCCTTTTCAGCATTACCATCTTCATACTGCAAAACAAGCAAAACAACAATGCAGACTCTTATTTAAGATGCCATCTTCAAAACAAGTTCCCAGTGACAAACAGAGGCACGAGTCCCACAAGGGAGGTGGCCTTGCAAGGTGGAGTCACACACTCCTTCCCTCCCTGAGGTTTCTTGCCATCACCTTCTGCTTGGGGCTTCAGCAAGCTCCAGTACTCCAGGCCTGTGACTGACTTGGGCTATAAATAAACACCATATAAAAACATACTCTTCCGTGGTTTGAGTGAGGGAGACAGAGAGGGAGTTTAGACTCTTTAGTGCTGTGGAGCTGAGTCCAATTGCTAATAAAAAGGTCCTCAAAGACTCAGTTTAATAACCACCATGATCTCCTGGCTGCCTGCCTGTCCCCCCCGCTTTTCTCCCATGAGGATGCTAAAAGCACTTATGAGCTTCCCTAGGCCAGATAAAAGGGGATGGCATTTGAGGAGCCAGAGGAAAGGGGCAAACCCAGACATAGGTATGAAGGAAGGGGTGTGTGATTTCCCCACCCTGTAGCCGGGGAGGTAGGCAGAGGGGAGAGATTTCATCCCCCCTGGCCCCTAGCAGACTTCTCAATCTCTATTTCATCATCAGATCCCAAATTCAGGGATTGATATTCCAACAGCTGGCCACATAACTCTTTGTGTTAGCAGTTGTGCTATTTTCCCAGATGTTCCTCTTCGAGCTCTGTCTCTCACCCATGTTCTCCTCAGTGCTGCCCCTGGCAGTCCTAAGCTACATGTTCCTCTATCATGGTTGGGAAAATGTCTGCTGAGAAATGGATGTGTAGTTACCATGCTGCTGCAATGCCTTGGGGCCTCTAGGAAAAAGTGCTCCAAAGACGAGTGAAGTAAAGCAAAGGACTACCAGGGTATCTCACGCTTCTCTGGGTCTATGGTGCGATGACACTGCCAGCCACATTGTATGGACCCACAGACACTGGCGCCAGAGCCTTGACGTGCACATATCCAGGTTCCCATGGCAACACAGTGCAGCACACACAGAAGTCTGGTCAATTGGTCAGTCAGGAAGAAACAAAAATGAACAGCCAAGATATTCAGGTGGGACAAAAAAGAGGTAAAAACATGATTTGTCCTCAGGGAGTCTGGTGGTCCGACAATGGCAGTCAAGTCGACCTTCAAAGGGGTCTTGTGGACAGTGGATTCCCATTGCATCACATCTTCAACTGAAAGCCATCGGCCTGCCTTTTCAAAGTCCTTCTCCATCTGGCTGCCCCCTATGCCACCAACTCCATCTTACAAGGAGTCTCCAGAATAGAATCTCTGTCCATTCAATTCACTTCAGTCCTGTACCAACCCAGGCCTCAAAGTCAGGCCCCTGACTCCTGACCATGGCCATCTTGTAAAATGACTTGATCTTTCCAAATGGGTTCGATATTTACCTCAAGGAAGACTTCCTGGGCGATCTCAACACTTTGATTATCTCAACCTAAATTATTCCTTTGGACCTGCTGTGGCTCATGTTAGCGTGTCTGAGTTAATGCATCAGTCCCGAGAGCAAGCAGTGTTCCTCGCACACATTAGATACACGATGGCAGCTGTGAGCTTTCTCTCAAGCTTCCCCCAGAGTCTAAGTCAGACTCTGACTTCAGGTGTCCTGCCTGCCTTCATTCTCCTCTTCTTCTCCTCATCCTCCTCATTTCCCTGATTCATTCTCCTTCTCTGACTCACTCTCTGTAAACAAAAGATGGCTCCCCAGCTAGAAACTGTGGCTTACAAATTAATGCTGCTGTTCACTTCTGCTGCTGCTGGGTTCGTCTGGAAAGTGCTGTGGGGTGTGGAGGTCGTATTGGGAA